AAAAAAAAAAAAAAAAAAAAAAGAAGAAGAAGAAGTAACGAAAAAAAAGTCAACATCCCAAATGTGCAAAATCGTGCTATATCATTATTAAATAACTGAATTTGTAATTTTTCTTGCGAGTACTTGTTCAGTGTTTTCGACCTGCAACATTATCCGGAATATACTTGAGAGCTGCCCAGGTATGCAACGAGCCACCCGAATATCCCAAAACCCAGAATTTGCCACGTACTCCCACAGAATGTGACAAATGCAACATATCCAGAGCAGACGAGCCAAGAGTTCTGTTAGGGTGAGGATCACTTTCGCCAAATCCCGGGAGATCATATGTGATCAACCGAACACCAAATTCTTCCAGCAGCTGAATTTTGATACCCGGAACACCTACCATTCAATCATTCAATTATTTTCATTAGAAAACACAACACACACCTTTCATATTATATATACATTTGTTCACAGCAGTTAGTAACCTGCAAGACGAGAAGAGAGGAACCCATGTGGGATAATCACGGTAAATCTTGCTTTAAGAGATGGGACTCCAGTTTCGTGATATGCTATGTATCTCCCATCCGGCAGAAGTATCCGTGCAGCACTCGGTGGATGCAGAGAGACTTTCTTCACCAACGAAACTGTGGCCTCATGTTTGCTATTTACACTCAGAACTGGAAAGTGTGTATAAACAGGATAATAGATAAGTCGACTCAAATGCGGGCACATTAGTTCGAAATCATGGGCACAAAGGGGATTGTGTGTAATTTGGATATACCAACATTAAATTGATCGAAAACTAGAAATGGGATTCTTCCTAGTATGCATAGCTACCAAATCTTGAATTCTAATTCTCACACCAGACAAATTTATTTTAGCTAATCAACAGAAAAAATTAGTGATAGCACAAACTACTTAAATCGAGTAATAGAGAAAAAACGAAAAGAGAAAGTCCCAAACTTTTACCAGCCAGAGCAAGGAAAAACACGAAGAGGATGACGGGCCAGACGTGGGCCGGGTGGCGATCCTCCGGCAAGAACTCGTTCAGAAACCTCAGCTTTCCCGAAACCTCGGCAAGCGGCCCTCGGGTCTTCCTCACGATGTAAGAATCCTCAGCCAGCAGGGACTGCCGCGCCACGTCCCTGCAACCTCTCGCCAGCTCCACCAGCAATTCCCCCCACGCCACAGCGAAGCCCTTGATCTGGACCCTCAAGCTTTCCGCCGCGGCGGGCGGCGGCGGCGGCGATTTGGTGAGGAATTCCTCCGGCGGGGCCAGGACCGAATCTCCGTTGAATACTATCCCTGTATCTTCCAATAAGCTTGCCAGCTCGTCTCGCCACGACTTGGGCTCTGATGGTACTTCCATGGATGCGTATTGTGTACAGACAAAAAGTGCATACACACTGTATACGTATATACTCACCAGCTAGAGAGAGAGAGATGGGGAAGTGAAAGAAGAAGAAGATGAATAGCTGTCAAGCGCACTAAATATAATGAAGAAACTCATTGTTATTATTTTATTTTTCAAATTACCTTTGAGCCTACTGAATTTGTACGTTTCTGTTGTTTTGCAGTCACCTGTATATTATTATTATTATTATTTTTTTTTTTTTTTAGGTAATAAGCAATTTAAAGTAAAATTTGGAAATAAGTAAATTAGCATTTCCTTTGGTACAAGAAATGATGCCGTGGGCCCAAAGCTAGACTATAACTCGGCGGGGATAAGAAACCCCGATTACATCAGGTTTGAGTCAATCACCCAAAGTAAGGGGAAGTGGCCAGCACATGAAGACCAATAGGAACAACATACGCTAAGCCCACCAAATGGTCAGCGGTAAAGTTCGTCTCTCTATGCACGTGACGAATGTGAATATTCCACTCTCTTTGGAGCAAATGCCGAATAGTCTTGACTAAAGTTTCATGTGTCCTAGAAATCGAACCGGTGCCATTAATCATCTGCAGCACACACTGGCTATCTACCTCCGCCCTAACTTGGCAAAAGTCCTGATCCTATGCAAGTTGAAGCTCTTGAAATAGACCACATAGTTCGGCCCGAGTTATGGTACAGTAGTCGATATTCATAAGAAAACCCGCAATCCAACCTCCATCTCGTTTCGAAGAAGGTCAACAACACTACTGAGGCCGGAGGACACGTCAAAGAGATTTGAGGGTGGGTAAAAAAAATAAAAATCAAAATAAAAAGTTATGTTCTTGTTCGTTATAAATAATTACTTGATTTTATTAGTACATAGGGGGTATCTGAAGGTATTATGAATGTCAATAGCCAATTTAGTTAGTGGTTTGTTAAATAATTTTTGGTAAATCGCAATATAATGTATTACACTTGTTGAATATTTTTCTTTTTAGAATGTTGCTTTTTTTTTTAATTGGAATTTTGGAGAAAAGAATTTATCAAATAAAATCTATAATAATCGATTTTATTATATTTAATTAATAAAAGTTAAAAGTCACAAAATTATATTTAATTAAAAACAACATAAATAAGAAAGTGTAAGTGACCGACCATTCTTCACAAGAATCAAATCTTCACCTTATAAAGTGCAAAATAAATAAATAAATAAATAAAAAAGGAGCAAAAAATACCTGTTAGTTATTTTCTTTTTGTACGAAAAAAGGGCAAAAGTGTGCACACCAAGTTGCTTCCTATTTACTCCTGAATTTTTTTATTTTTTATTTTATTTTTTTTTATTTACTCCTGAATTTAACACGCAGTAGTGTGTGCATTTTTATGTGAAAAGTGACGGTAAATGCTGGCTTGGCTGACAGC